GTTCAGCAGAAAGATATTTCTAAACAGTCGATTTATCAAACCTTTCGCATATCTCACGGAAATAGTCGTCTCTGACTTTCCGAAGATCGAAAAAAATTGCAGCAACGTTTGTGAATAAATTTAATTCGTTGAATTATTTATAAGAAGTACTTTTTAAAGGATAAACACACACACAAACCTTGAAAAACCTTTTCCAAATAGTTCATTTTCTTGATGTTATCATATGATATTACTCCGTCAGCACTGTCAAGGACTTCCTTAATCTCCTTTCGAATTTTTTCTTGAATTGATTGATTCTGCGCTAGTTCATATATTGCGTGAGACATTGTAGCAGAAGATGTCTCGAAGCCAGCCGCGAAAAATACGAATAATTGGGCAGCAATGAATTCATCTGTTACATCTGAAAAATAAAAATAATAATAATTTTATATTTAGATTTTACATGAAGAAGAAGGAAATTATAGACTGTTACAATAGTTACCACATAAAAAAATATAAAAAATAAGTTAATAGTGTTGAACATACGAGAAGTAACAATTTTGCTGAAGTATTTAAAAATTTAGCTAGATGCAGATCTGAAAATAATTTTGTTGAAGTTGTCAAAATAACTATGTAGGACGTTCAAATTAGTTGTTAGAATGTTAATACTTTTTGCAACATTACTCATTAATTATTATGCTTAAGTTTCCTACATAAATAATTTGATGTTTCAACAGAAATATTTTGAAATTTGTATTTACCTAAATTTTTATTTACAGATACTTCAACAATACATATTAGTATTGTTTTATTCAATGATTATCTTTCAAAAGAGAAAGAATATAAACATATTCAAGAAAGATAATGACAAAAATACATCCAATGTTAAAAAACGCATTCGAAAGTTGATAAATTAAGACGCAAAAAAAGTAAAAGCAATAGTATTCCTACTATTAATGCCCAGCTTGCCGGGATTATCCTTGAGGTCGATAAGTGTATCGACGAAATCGTTTCGACACACATTGTTGCGCTTTCTGTATTCTATAGTTTCTCGGGTAATATCTGTCAGGAACTTGGTCACATCATGATCGTCAAAGATATATCCGAAATTCTTGTAGAACCACGGTATTTCTTTGAGTATATTTCTAATCATGACTCTTGGAGTAGAGCGGAAGATCTTACGGCCGATACGCTGAAACTGATTATTCTCTTCTTTCAACGCGTTCATCTCGAGACCGAAAGCGCACGATCCGATCACGTCGAGAGTGAATTTAGACGTCATATTTCGGCACTCGACAATACTGTCTTTAGATACTATCTCATCTAGATACTTTTCGAAGTGGTCGGAACAGTTCAGCAACAAGTGAAACATGTCCTTCAACTTCCCGGTCGTGAAGACGGGCGAAAGCCTCATTCTTAATGGTCGCCATCTAACAGCGTCGAGTCTGAAGAGGTGCATGGACATGGGTTCGGCCTATAAATTATGCATCAGTGTATCAGAAAGCGGGAATTATGTTAGAAAGTTTCCTTTCAAAGTTTCCGAGTGATCAACGCTTACCTCGAAACTTATACGTCAGCTCAACTTTAAACTGGAGAGAGAAAAAGAGAAATACTCTTTTTCAACTCTTAATTTTTTTAGTTATTGTAATTGATATGTACGTTCCGAAACAAAAAAGGAGAAAACAAATTAAAAATAATTATTTTAAGTAATAATTAAAATTATTTTTTTAATGCTGATGAAGACTGTACAGCTGAAACGTACAGGATTACCATCTTCATTAATAAAGATTACATTTTTTAATTAATCAACATCATAAATTTATTCGTCTTTGACTTTGACTTTCACTTATTGCTTTACATATATTATATTTACACATTAATATTTATCTATTAATATTTTCAAAAATACCTTTTCATAAACCTTTGAATGTCGATTAGCAAAGATGGTGAAATCCTTTATCAACACTTGTTTAATGTATTCAGGATCTTTTATGACGAGCACAGGATTTCCTCTCAAAAATACACCCACCATGGATTCTTTCGGGTATCGGTCGTAAATTTCTTTGTAAAAATCACCCATGTTTTTCTTGCCCATTAAAAATTCGACAATGTTGCCGAAGAACGGAATGGGTTTCGGTCCATTGATCCCGCGCGATGTCCAATAGTCAAAGTCAGCGGTCAAATAATAATAAAGTAAATATAAGATCATCACGCAAGCACAGAGAATTTCCAACATGCCTGTAGCCATTGTTGGTAGCTGGTCGCTATTATAATTGTGATGCCTGTTATGTGATTATTGTACAGTTCAACTCACTGTAAACTCGAACTGAACGGCTCGAATACAGATAGCATGCAGTTCAACGACATTCGCGAGAAATATATAACTGACACTGCTTGATATTATATCTACTACACGAAGTTTAATAGGAAGCCCCCACTTCTTGCTACACGGCTTAGGAAAGAATGACTCAAGATTTGTACATACATTGATACATTTTATAACTGTGTACCATTGAAAATCATATAGAACTTATGATAGATATGCTGAGTCATTCTATTTTTGAATAGCTTACACTATTAAAGTTTCATTATCTACTGATTAATTTATAACCGATAAGATAAAATTAATGGTTTTTGTTAGAATACGAATTATAATGAAATCCCAGACAATTAAAAAATTTAGAAGTGCAATAAGTTCGTAGATAGCACTTGTGTGTATATAACTTTGTGAAATATAGTAATACATATAAAAGTTTCTTTTTAATTGAGAGGAATAAAGGTCTAATTACAAAATCTTGATTTTTTGATAAAAATTAAAGTAACTTGTTACTTTTTTATTATATCACAAATGGGAACAGTATTAAATGTATATTTATATAATGTCTTCGAGAAGTTATATATTATAATATTTCTCTATTATGATCAATATTTAAAAAGTTATTTGCAATTTAAAAAATGCACTTAATCCCTTTTTCCGAATATTAATCATAATATTGTAAGAATCGATAGAAAGAAAGACTATGAACTGCAGAAATGTTTTTTATTTTCACATTCTTCTAGAAGAAATACAAAATGAATATCAAATACATTTTACTTTTACTTCTACAAAATAAATTTAAATAATGTTCAATCATCATCTGATGAGTTTTCGTAAGATTTTTTAACATAAATATGTTGTAATGAAAACACATTATTGTCGTACCATTTTCAGTCTGGTAAAAATCTCATTGATGATTTTAAATCATTTATGCAACCTTTTTCCATAGATTATATCATTTTCACCACCACAGGACAATCGAAACACGTTCATATTTAACTAATGTAAGTAACATCAATTCCTTGTTTATTTGTGCTAATTTCCGAAAAAAAGGCCTAAGTAGAATTGTGCCTTTATTCCGCCTATCTCCTCAATTATAAATCAAAATACAAATACAAGAAGATAATCTATACATTTTGATAAAGAGATTAAAATTGCGAAATGAGAAAGTCATTTGTGTCCATAAGATATCGCATTGTATTATTCCGACAAGATATAAACCTTATGTAACACATAAGCTACATACGTCTACCATATATCTGTTTATCCAGACACACATTGTCTCCGAGATTTTCATTACATTAAAAACAAGGTTAAAATTTATTCTACAATTTCCCACAAGAACTGTCGAAAGAACCAATCTGTTAATTTCTTTATTTCGATTAGTGAAAAGTTACTTTGATATTATTATTTATAAATTAAATTATTTCTATTATATTCACATATTTTCAATATTCTGTAGAGGAAGAAAGAAGGTTGTGGAGTTTTGTTTTACTGAAATAATCAGTGTTGTGCAGTACAAGTACCAAGATATGTAGCGAGATACTTTTTTCGTCCGATACTTATATTTAGGTATATTTTAGTTACTTTTTTAATACTTTCCTACACTAAATAGATTATTCAATTACAAAAAAAATTGATATGAAATATAATACACTTTTACTGAGCTCCGTGCTTGTTAAATGTGCATTTAATGCAGGGAAATAAATTTTAATGCCGTGACAAAATAATTTGTTCAGTGAAAATTTTGAATGTTTGATATTTTTAAAATATAATGCATAAATGTTAAATGAATTATATTTGAGTAAAACTAATTAATAGCTTTATAAGTATTATTTCATTTTATTGTATAACATGTTAAACTGGCATAGAATATTTATAAATATACATATAAAATACGTATAATACGTAAATATTACGTACGGATACATGAAATCATAAATATCTGTTCATTCTAAAATTTTATGTTAATAAATAAAAGTACTTGTACCTCTCTCTCTCTCTCTCTCTCTCTCCCCCCCTCTCTCTCTCTCTCTCTCTCTCTCTCTCTTTCTCTAGGAAAGGTACCTATATTTAAAGCTCCTGAGTGATCACTATAGCCATATTGAATCGTGACATCAGAAGCAAGAAATGACACATTAATTTTTTTTACATGTACGATTTGTAAATAAAAGCAATTTGGATAAAACGAAATGATGAGATAGCTTTAAAGCAATTATAAAACTGGGCTAAAACTATTCTTATTCCCCCTGATAATTAGTAAATAATCGTAAAAAGTGATAAAAAGCAGTTGAAGTGCTTTTTATCAATACTGAAATGTTTTTATTTGTTGCGCATGCACAGTCTATTCCACATGTATTTTATCATTTTTTACAGTTATTTACTAACTGTCGGAAAAGATAAGGATAAAAATAACTTTCGTTTATCTTACTTCATCATACTTTTATCCAAATTGTCTTTATTTATAAATGACTCGTAATAAAAATTGTCATTTCTCGCATCTGAAATCGACACAAGAATGAAAAGTTACTTTTTAAAAGTAACAAGTTACAGTTACTCATTACCGAGTAGAAAGAGTAACAAGTTACTATTACACAACACACACACACACACACACACACACACTATTATAGTTACCGATTTTTAAAAGTAACTCTATACAGTTACTGTTACTTGAAAAAGTAACTTTTCATTACTTTTTTAAAATCGACGATCACCAATCATAGCGGACGAGTGCCTATAGCGGCTTTCAAACGCTATAAATGGCTTATGTCCAATCATGTGCAAAGTAACGATAAAAATAACTGTAAAATTCGTTACCATTACAAAAAAATGTAACTACGTTACCGTTACAGTTATCAAAAAAAAAGTAACGCAGTTATTTTTATCTATATAAGTAACTGCGTTACCAGTAAAGTACTAAAAAAATAACTTGTAACTGTATCTTCGTTACAAGTAACAAGTTATTTCCATTCCCTGCACACGATTCAATATGTTTGTGGTGACCATAAGTACCTACTCAAAAGCCTTAGGATATATTAAAAGTACCTGTATCTAGATATTTTGTTTTAATAGTGCCTGTACTTCGATATTTTTTCTGAAATACCTATACCTTGGATTATATCTACACTGTTAAAAATTTCATGAAATTTAATAATAAATTGTGTAAATTACTTTTAATTTACACAATTTGAACTTAATTTCATGACATTACGTTAAATTTGATATATTTATAATTGAAAAGTATATTTGTGTACATGTACATGAAATTTAATGTACCTTCCAGAAAATTTTATAAAAAGTATATTAAATTTCATAAATTTTATGTACACGTTCATTAGATTTAAGTAATTATTGTAACTTAATTTTCAGTTAATTCATTCATTACTTTTAATTTCGTTCATAACTACGAGCTTCATTTACATGTAAAGGAAACTCGTGGTCACATTTCTAACAGGATACTGAAAACAAAGTGTTTTACACAACACTGGAAATAACTCAGCAGATATTCACGTGACGTAACTACTTTTGGTACATACAATAGTCATAGAGTGATATCAATTATGCTAATATAGATAGAAATTCTTCGAATATATAGAACAAACATAATTTACAAAAATCTGAAATTATCATATTCAATTTAATTATATCATTTAAAAATCATAGTCAAAGTTTCGAAGCTAGATTGAATTATACCAACAGACACTTTTCAAAATTATATAAAAGATACACAGTAAAACTATGAAAAAATCTTTCTTATATAGCTGTTAAATAAAGATAAATTGAGAATGAGAAAGAAACTCTTTTGAAAAATTGATTTCTATTTTATTTTTTATATCATTCTGTCTGTTTTCTACTCCGATATTTTAGTTTTATTTAGACCAAAAATTGTTTGTATCTAGAACGAGTTGATACAAATGGACGAACATCCATATTGATAACGATAAGTATGACTAATTACTTCCGGAAAATCGACTTAATCGCGAATGTTCTTGTTGCTGTGTTGTATCACAGCGAAATGTTTAATTAAACGTCGATTCTAGAATCCCAATCTCAGGTAGAAATGAAAATATGGAAATGCAGTGAGCTGCACGCTGGTAGATACACAAAACAAGATAGCTGCACAAGCTCGAACTAAGCGTATAAATGCACGAAGTCATTTTTTAAACTCACATAAATCTTTCCGCTGCAATTTCTCACTAACCACGTTGGCGGTATCTATACCTCTCGTACCTTCGTTGGAAAATCTCATCGCATTCGAAGTAAAAACAAGCTACTTAACTAACGATTATATCTTCACGTATACATAATGCGTCTTTCTAAAATTTTATAAATATATAATACAAAATTACAATTACAAAACAAAATTATACGAGAATACATTTTGAACAAAGATAATATTTTCTTAGAAGAAATTTATATAGATAAATAACTTAAAATAAAAATAAAAATAGTTTTGCGGCTCCAAGAATAAATTAAATATATGTAAAATGCCTATATGAGCGTGCGCGGTTGTTGGTGCGCAATTATATTTATAAGGAGATAAGATATAATTTCCGAACACACACACACAACTAGAATGTAGTTACGATGTAAGTTAACTGCAAACGTTTCGACTTTGAATTTTGAGTCCTTCTCAATGTGGAAGTCAAGTACAAACTATTATTTATTAGTATTTGGTATATGGACTTTATAAGGACTCAAATTCAGAAGCGAAACGTTTATAGTTAAATTCGTTGATAAGTACATTTCAATTGTTTACAAATTATAACGTATTGTCTTATAATAAATATATTATTTGTGCACCAACAACTGCGGAAGTTTATATAAGCATTTTAAATAAATGACGTACTTATCGTTAAAAAGTTTTCATCTATAAAGTATGTCCATACTGTGCTCATCTCAAAAAATTTAAAATTTAATATATTCTTATTCCAGTTATAATCTTTTCGATGTTATTCCTAGTGTGATATACCCGAGATTTCTTTTACTTTGCTACGTTATGACTTTTTTATTAACAGATGTACACATATATTTGCTTGTTACGTTATATTCAGCGTTTCGATTGAAAAAAAATTGTTATATATTTAGTTTTATACGATATTTTTTAGAATATTCAGTGTAGAGCAAGTACGTGACAAAACGATCGATATGGAATGGCATCAAAGGGTTAAGAAAATATTAAACTCTATATTTCTCAACAATCTGTGACAAATCTATCTTTTAAAAAAAAACATTCAATCGTATAATGTAGAAGTTTTACGAAAATTATATTATTCCGTAACAGAATCTCATTATGCATACGTAGTGAAGTTACACTTAAGTAACGTATTTGCGGTCATAGTGAAACTTCTTACAAACTTTATACAATTTTGCGCAACTGTTTTCTTCGATGAGAGAATTAAAACAAAAATATGTCACTTTACAAAGTTATCATATACCGTTGTCGTCATATAACGCGAAGATCATACATGTTAGCATCCAGTTTCACCTTCTTATCATGTGCAATATGTGCTTCGTGGACTAAGATTACAAGCTGAGAATATATACGTGAAAACATATATGTAACTCGAGCAAGAAAAACTCTTTCAGCCTGAAAAAAAGGAAGGAAGGAAAAAGATATATCTTTTGCAATCCGTCATCGTGTCGCATTAATGCTTTCGCGACGGGTTCGCTATCAGCGTTTTACGAATTTATTTCAATTCCATGCGGTGGACACACAGTTAAACGGATTTCGACAATTCATTTACCGTTTGATCTACCCGCGCATTTCAATTATATGTTTACTCTTTGTCGACGGCATTCGCCTTCCTATTGAGCCCGAGTGCACACCCGCGCGTCGGCGGTCGCATCGACGAGCCGGGTAAAGTCGTGGGAACGGATGCGGTACGGTACAATTGAATTAATCTCGATCGAACAACGCGACCTCCGAAATGAAACAGGAAATCACGTTATCGCACGTGGCGGCGTGCACAAGCATGCGCCGCGAAACAAGCGGCTCTCATTAGTTGTTATTGTTTGATCGTGATTAGCAACAAAACCATGATGTTGCTGAATATCATACGTTATCGCGATTATGTGCCTAGGAGATTGTTGCAATCATTTGGATAGTGGCAGGGGAGAACATAGAAACGGTCAAGGTATTTTGAAAGAGCTTAATAATTGAAGAATGCCTATTTGGTCTCCCCTTTGTTATAATTACAGAAATTATTCAAAATATGGTCTTAAATGTACTAAATTATTCTAATTTATATATACTTCTGTGAATATCAGATTTCTTGTATCGTTCTATTTTTATTTTATATTATATAATCAAAAGGAAGATTATAAAGAATATTCGCCTTGTTTTGCTACGCGTCCAGTAACAAGAACTTACTCGAAGTAAACGTCACTTTTAACATGTTTGCTGATACCAGAAAGAAAATCACACTGAATCGTCCATGGTGAGATGAAGAGCTAAGTTGCGCTTTTTTTCGAGATTCATTCGGTCAGACATTTGAATCAGATTTGCCTGCTCAATACGAAGAGCTCGTCTTAATTCCTGCAGTTTCCATCCCGCCTCAATCTGCTTTTCGGCTATTTGCTTCTGCAAGGCGGCGATCCGCCGATTTAAAGCATCGTAATCTGCTCGCAACCGATCACTACCTCGATTAATCACTGAATGATCGCAAACCGTAGGACTGCTATCTTGTTGTACCATATTTGAAGTCAACAGACAGATTTTATCGTGCAGCTCGGCCAGTTGTGTTAGTGTCAAAGACTGAGAGCGATAAACGTATAGATATTTTGTATTAGAGCAATCAGTTATTTCCATGTTAAAAATTATTTTTACACTACAGAGAAAGAACAGTTTTGTTGAAGTATCTAAAAATTTAGCTAGATATAAATTTGAAAATGAATTTGTTAAACCATCAAAATAATTAAGTAGGACGCTCAAACTGATTGCCAAACGTCAAAATTTTTGCAAAGTTGCTCATTATGCTTGAGATTTCTATGTAATTATTTTGATGGTCAAACAAAATTATTTTTAAATCTGTATTTTAAATCTGTAGTTAAATTTATTTAAATATTTCAGTAAAATCGTTCTTTCCGTGTATATCTAGATACAGAATATTTTTATCTGTATCTATGGTCTATGACAGTCTATGTAATATATATTACATAGACTGTCATAGATATATATTGAGAGATGCAAACATAGAAATAATATTTCGATTTATTACAAGTACGACGCGTCAATATAGAGAAAAGTGAGATTTAATAGATATAAAGAAGTAAACGCAGACCAACAGAATGAACTCTTACCACCGCACGTACATACCTTTAACCAAGATTCAGGGTCAAAAGCTGCAAGCTTATCGCCATTATCCACACCTGCAACCTTGGTAACTTCCACACCAAACTCCTAGAAATGATTCATTTCCAGCGTTAATATGCAAGTCAGAAAATTCAAATTATTCTCCAGATAAATCATCAAATAGGAAACTGATGTGTACTGGATTGATGCTATCTGTTATTCGCCTCACCGATAATTGTTTTATGTAATTCTCATTTTCTCTCTTGCATTCATTAAGCAGTTTAAATAGTCTATCGATATTCTGAATTTCTATTTCGGCCAGATAGATATTCTCAGACAGTTTTTGCGATTCTCTTAATAATTCTATGATGGACGGCACAGTCCAGCGCTCGATTTCAAAATCATCATCCAACGTTGTCGCCATCGCAGGTCTCGCAGGAATTTTTCCATCCACAAATTGTATGTAATCACGCACACGTTGCACGGCTATTATATTGCGAGAACAAATACAGAACTAACTTGCAAAAATTATGTAATCAAAGTTTGTTTTTGTCATTTTCTATGTATCACAAAATTCGTCCAAGTATTAGTTTTCTGTGCAAACTGCACGCGCGACTTTTGGTGCAATGGCATGCGTAATTAATAGAATATAACAATTTGCAAAATGTTGCCTTCGAGTGTCGCAAATTTATGGAAATGCTTAACTTATTAAGATATTAGCCGGGCTAATTACGGGCTATGAATAAGGAAATTCACATTTCTACCGTGCGATAAAAACTGTCGGAATGACAAAACAGTTGAAAAAGTTTTTATGCAAGTTTTTACCGTCATATTGCTTTTCAATTTGCTTCTTCAGTAATTCATTCGCCTTAACGAAGTCGCCGCATTCATCCGGTTTAATCACGCCAGCCTCTGGAATTACAAAGATGTTTTTCCTTTAATGTGAACGCAACCGACAAAATTCAATAAGAAAAAAACTCGCCAAAAACCACCGAATGAATGAGAAACGCATTATACGACTAAATTATATCTATTGATTTAAACAACCTATATCTATATTATCCAATAATGCAATCCCAGTCATAAGTTTGGAAACACAATTTTTTCACATTTTACGAAAAGTTAAATTCTCGATGAAAAAAATCGTGGAGAAGTCTTTGACCACGCATTTTAAAGAGTAAAGATAGGGCTTTAAATTCGTGTTTGAATTTTTTCTCTACGAGATTTTATTCCTAAATTATATAAAAATGCTCGAAATTAAAGCGTGGTCGAAAGTTTCTCTACAATTTTTTTTACCGAGATATTTTTCGTAAAATGTGAAAAAATCGTAAGTGTTTCCAGACTTTTGATCGAAACTATATATCGAAAAAGTACAAACCTACGATGGGAGGAAGAGATTGCAGAAATTTGATCTTTTCGCTCAAATTGTTAATTTCATCATTTAAATGTTTTTTCTCCGCTTGACAATGATCCCATTCGGATTTCAACTCCATATTTTCGATTTTCAAGGCATTATTTGCAGTCATCAGTCTTTGGATTTGATCTTTCGTCCCGTTAACTTCTTCATCGACTTGTTCAGGATAATCTTTTATTTCGTCCAGCAGCGCTTTCAGTCGACCTAGTTCTAATTCCAAACCGTCATTAACTATTTTTAATTTATTATTTTCTTCCATCGCATGTCTTAAATCTTCTCTTGCCTCGTCTAAACCTACACTGGGAGGGAGGGATGTCAGCAATTTGATTTTTTCGTTCAAATTATTAATTTCATCGTTTAAACGCTTATTTTCCGCTTGACAATGATTTAATCTGGATTTCAGCTCCATGTTTTCAACTTTCAGCGCATTATTTGCGACAAACAATCTTTGGATTTCATCCTTCGACCCGATAACTTCTTCATCGATTTGCTCAGGATAATCTTTTATTTTGTCCTGCAGTGCTTTCAATCGACCTAGTTCTAATTCAAGACCGTCATTGATCATTTTTAATTTATTATTCTCTTCCGCCGCGTATCTTAAATCTTCTCTCGCCTTGTCTATCTCGATCATCAATTTCTTCAATTCATTTTCAAAGCTGTCGATATCGTCAACATCCTCTATAAAATCGCCTTTCGATTTCTTGATATTCTCTTTTAATTTATTGATCTCATTTTGCGCCATTCTTAGCTCATCTCGCAATTCTTTGTTTTCTACCATTAATTTTTGTAAATCCTGTCGCTCTTTATCATACTCCGTCCTTACTCTCATCAAATCATCTTTTTTCAATTCGCCGTTATCGGTTTCGATCCTTTCTTTCTGTATTGCTAATTCAATTGTTAATCGTTCGTTGTCCGCCCTGCATCTATTCAATTCGTCTTGTAATTGAATCAAGGCATCCTTTAAGGCAGCCTTATCCATTTTCTCTGCGTCCAGAGCGTTAATTAAGTCATCAATCTGCGCATGTGCATCGTCGGCCTTTGAAATCACTGTACGAACTTTCATGTCGCTCATCTCTTTTTCAAGCCTTTCTTTTTCATTTGACAAGTCAACAAGCTGTCCTTCCAGAAATTTAATCTTCGTTTCGGCATCACCGAGTACTTCCTTCAATTTATCGATTTCTGCTTTTAACTCGTTGTTCTGATTTTTAGACTTATCTAGGTCATTCTTCGCTGTTGTTAAATCCGACTTGAAGGAGTCGAGATCTGTTGCTATTTTAGTGTTTTCGATTCTTAGAATAGTATTCTCGTTTTTCAATGAAGCATGTCGTTCATTTATATCATTTAGTTCATGCTTCAAACTCTCATTTTCCACACGTGTTTTATCTAATTCTGTCTTTAGCTTCATTAATTCGTCATTAAGAACAATCACTTTTTTCTCAATAGCTTCCTTCGCAGCTTTATCCAACACAACTTCTTTATCTAATCCATTCACTTTCTTCAATTGATAGATCTCTGCTTTTAATTCGTTGTTTTGATTCTTGAACTTATCTAAATCATTCCTTGCAGTTGTTAAATCTAATTTGAAGAAATCGAGTTCTGTTGCTATTTTAGTATTTTCGATTTTGAGAGCAGCATTCTCGTCTTTCAAAGAAGCATGTCGTTTATTTACGTCATTTAGTTCGTGCTTCAAACTCTCATTTTCCACACGCATTTTATCTAGTTCTTCCTTTAGCTCCTCCATTAATTTGCCGTTAGAAACGATCGCCTTTTTCTCAGTAGCTTCCTTTGCAACTTTATCCGACACAACTTCTTTACCTAATCTACTCACTTCCGCTCGTAAACTATCTAACTCGTTCAGAAGTGCCTCCTTCTCTTCTAACAATGCAGCCACATGATACTGCAATGCGTTCACCTTGTTCTGCGCGTCGATCGACATTCTCTTTAAATCCTCTACTTCACTATTCAACTTGTCATTCGCCAATTCAAGGGTATCTAAATTCTTTTGCAGTTTTTTCAGCTCCGCTCTTAATCTATCGTTTTCCGATTGGTTAGTAGATAATTCCAATCTAATTTTTTCTGATAATTCCTGTTCAGCTGTCAAGTTAGATTTTAGATTTTTAATCTCATCCTTTTGCCTATCGTCCTCGTCTTTTAGTTTTTCAAATTCTTTTTCGAATTTCTGTCGTTCTTCCCTCAAACTCGTGTTTTCTAGTTTCAAACCATCAACTTCAGATATCAGCATATTTGATTCGGTTTTTAGTTTATTATTCTCGTCTGTTAATGTATTTGTTTTTGATTTTAATATGTTATTATCTACTCTCAAAGCTAATACCTCATTTTTTGTGTTTTCAAGTTCTGCTTTTAATGTTAATACTTGACGCGATAGATTTTCCTTCTTATCCCTTATTTTATCGTTTTCTGTTCTTAATTTAATTAATTCAGGTTTTAGTGCTTTAAGTTCCTCTCTCAAAGCAACGACTTCATTCTTGACTTTCGTCAGTTCCTCCAAAGCCTCTTCTTTAGCAGACTTTTCGGCGAATGACGACAGATTTAGCCCTTCTAACAGATTTTTAAGCTCTGCTATTTCTCCCTCGAGCTTAATCTTCTCATTTTTAAGATTCGTTATCTCCTTCTCTAATGTTTGATGTTCAACCTATGAATTTCAATGTGATTATTATCAAAGGCACAAGAAGTTACAAGAGGAATACGTAACTAATTATCTCTACCTTACAGACGTTTAAAGCTTCCTTTGTCTTTTCATTCTCGATGGATAACTTATCTGAGCTCATCTTAAGCTTGTAATTTTCCAACTTCCAATATTCAATATCTTCTTCCGCTTTAGATAATTGCGATTGAAGATCAGATATACCCGCTCTTAAATTATTAATCTGGTTCATCATCTCAGCATTCGCAGCCTTTAGGCTCAACGATTCCTCGCCTAGTTTCAACAGCTCTTTCTTGAGGGCGTGTCTCTCTTCTTTTAGGGCATGATTTTGCACCTTCATCTCATCGATCTTTAAGATCAAATTTTTCATCTCATTCTTTAATGCCACTAATTCCTCTTGAATGTCTTGTTTAGCAGTAGATTCTGTACTTAGATCTAATTTCAGTTTGCTGATTTCATTTTGCAAAGCGTTGATTTCATTCTGTATCTTGTCTTTATCAATCTGTAAACTAACAAGTTGAGCATCAAGAAACTTAACCTGATCCTCGGCGTTGTCAAGTTGTTCTCTTAATTTATTTACTTCATCCGTCGATAAATTTATTTGTTCCTTCAGTTCATTTAGTTTTGTGTTTAGCCTATTGTTTTCATCTCTATAATTATTCATTTTCGCCTTAATATCTTTGTTCTCTACTTCTGTTTGGTGAATATCTGTCTTTAGTTGTTCATTTATAACTTTCGCCTCTTTCAGTTTATTATTTAACTCAAGTGATTCCTGCCGCAAATCTACAACTTCGTTATTTGCCCTCGTCAATTTATTACTCATATTATCTACCTCCTTTTTCAAAGTTTCTATTTCGGATAATAATTTTGTTAGTTCTTCTTTCCCATCATCCACTTCTTGTAACAATTTTCTGTTCTCCGACTTCAACTTTGCCATTTCGCTCTGCAAAGTATTGAAGTCCGCAAGTAGCTTGTTATTATTTACATTAGCCTTCTCCAATTCTTCTGTAAGAACTCCATTCTCGACTTTAAATTTGTTCAATTGTTTCTTTGCGTCGTCTAACGCTACATTTGTTTTAGACAAGTCATCTTTAAGAAGACCATTCTCGGATTTCAAGTTGTCTCTTTCAGTTGTCAAATTGTCTCTTTCGCTTTTAACAGCAGCACTTTCATCCTTTAGTTTATCGCTTTCAACCTTTAATCTATTCATTTCTTGTAACAGCCTATCGAGGCCTTCTTTCCATGCAATCCCTTCGGATTTTAATTGATCCGTCTCCGCCACTCGTTTTTCTAATTCATCTCTTAAATACTTATTTTCAGATAATAATTGATCTATCTTTGCCTTAATATTATTATTTTCCCTTCTCAAAGATTCCAGTTCCTTAATCATGTTATCAAGATTGTTTTTCAAAGCAACATTTTCTTCTTTAAGTTCGTTAGTCTCCAGTTTTGCATTTTCCAATGTCTCCTTCAAGAATTCATTCTCAGCTCCGAGACTATGCAAATCGTCTCTCATGCCCTCTAGCTCTTTTTGCGCCACTTGAAATTTTTCTTCCTCACGACGCAGGTCAACGTTCAACTTATCGATCTCGCTCTTCAACTCGTTATTTTCCTCTTTCACTCTACTCAGTTCTTGTGTTTTTCGAAATTCCTTCTCTAACGATGCATTCTTAATATTTAATTCGTCACATTCGGACTGAAGTCTTTCAATGTGCTTCTTCAGAATCTCACTTTCGTTATTCAGTTCACTTATTTGACGGTCTTTCTCGGACACCACACTCTGTATCTTTTTCAGCTCGTCGAGAAGTTCCTTTTTCTCCGTCTTAAAATTATACAACTGGGACCTCATATCTTCGATCTCGCTCTGCAATTTATTCACGTCCAGCACAGACAGTTCCGACTGCCGCAGGCTTTCGAGAAGCTCAGTAATCTGCGAACAAATACCCAATTGTCATGAATACTACTACGGAGTTAGACAAGTATAAACATCCTCTAGCATTTGTCTCATCTCAACGAAACAGGAGTTTACATGTTAGCATAAAACGTTTATGGCTTTTAACACATCGTACATGCAACCGATTACGACCATTTACAAACGTGAAGAAATAAAGAGAAGTACCTTATCATCAGGTTTCTCAGGTTTCTCAAGTTTCTCAGGCTCTTCCTTCATCTCGACCACCATGGTCGCTGGTTTAACTATCATCTCATCCAGATCTAACGCCGGTACGACGACGGAGGCTTTCTGTTGATCAAGTTCGCTTCGTAGAGCCTCCGCGTAAGCCGTCTTCTCATCCAAATGCATTTTCAATTCAGCCAGGAGCATTTTGCAATTACGAAGTTGACTTAACAGTGCCGGTATGTCCTCTTCTTCCACATCTGCAGGTAGAGGAACGACAATCTCTTCTGAGACCGGTGTAACAACTTCCTCCATTGAACGACGAATTTGCGTTAGTTCAGCTTGCAGGCGCTGTGTTCGTAACAGATCTTCGTAGCTCTTTGATAGATCCACCGATGTCTGCATTGATCTCTCGACAACCACGGACACCTGTTGATCAGCTTTCTGACCATCTTTCATTAGCTCACGAAGCTTTGCCCTCAAACGATTTAATGCCGCACAGGAAGTATCCTCCTCGGCTTCCACCAGTTTCAACTTCAGATGCGATATCGTGTCTCTCATTCTGTCACGATATCAACAGTTTGCACATAATTATATTGGCGTATCGTATTTAATGAAGATAGATGGTTTTCAAGAAAATATCGTAACCGACGAACTGTGATCAATTTCCTTTCAAAGCTATATAAGTAACTTCGCAAAGTATAAAACAGAAGCCTTTTCTAACTATTATTATTCCCAAACGATTAATTTAAGTAATATTAATTTTATAGGAGCTTTTTTTTAGCATTCTCCTTCTACTTATTGCTCAATTATTTTTCCGTTTATTAAAACAATATGCAGAAAGAAAGAGTAAGAGTGGAAAGGAGAAAGAAAGACTCATTAAACTGTCTTGACGAAATTTCATAGTCAATAGGCATTATGTACTGTTTTTTTTCGGCAGCAAAACGATCTCTCAGTGCTGCTATTTTCTCCCTCACGTATTTAACTTTTTCGCACGGATCGTCGCAGCAATCTCGTTCAGCGAGACTCTCCTCGAGGTTGCGAACTTTTTCCGCCAGTTCCTCATTTGCATTCTGCAGCCTTTCGTTTTCCTCGCGGTAATGCACGAGCAAGGGATCAGGACCCAATACCCCGTCGGGCTTCACACCTATAGGGAAATTATTTGACCGCCCGAAATGTATTCGGTACTCTGTTTTATATGACGAAGAAAACATGGGTCGTTTGCGGTGAGCTATGTGCATCGATAGAGAGCTATGGAAACTTAATAATAAAAAATGTAGAAACGCGAAATGTATAAAATAATGATGTATTGGAAAATCGTTTGACTTAATAACCGAATTTTATTTGATATTTTGTGAAATATCCGGAATCAATATGTGGATAGATTTTATTATAGAACCGTTCATAGTGCCGCATTGGAAAAAGTACCGCGCTAAAATTACTCTTCGTATATACAGCTCGAATGGCAATTTCTTATAAAATTTATTCTATAAGAAATATAGTGTAGGGGAGCAAAAGTGGGAGAGAAAAGATTCGACTATGAAATGGAACATCGATACCGAATGATCGTAGAGCTTGTTTCAGAGACCTATTTTCGCTCTCGAGCTGCAGCCGCTCCATGCGCCACTTCTTCATCTGGCACTTCATTACCGTCAGTTTTCGTAGAGCGAACGGCAGATCATAGATCTCCGATTCCTTGGAATTGTCGCTAAAGGGGTTGTAATCGCAGCAACAACATGGCTCGTGCGGCGGTAATTCGATCGGTTTTATCGGCCGCGGTGCGTGACATCCGCATGAACAAAATAGCGGTATGTATCGATCGTCCATGGCTTGGTATAATTTTGAGGACCACGTTTAACTTCTCTGTATGGCGTACCGCTGCACAAATTTATTCCTAAAAATGCCTCTACAATCGTTACGACGCTTTTTCAGGGAGCGCATTGCATAAAAAATGTGTAAGTTACTTGGTAATCATTTCTATACTATATATACCTCTAACATTATCGAGATGGAAAACAAGTTATTTATGACTCGGGTCAATTCATAGATAACCCGCGGTAGTAGAGTGCACTATCATTGTTCCGTAAAAAAGCTCCGCCAAGATAAAATCTTTTTATGCATGGAGATATGAGGTTGCCCGGAAATTCGTGAAACGTCAGTCATATTTTTGGTATTATTCCCAGTTCGACACACGACTCAGTGATATCGACAGCGAGATCGATATAACCATGAATATAACTCGATTTAGTAATACCGAATTCATGATATAATATATTAATAAGACGTTATGATATAAGTTTCTTTCTATCATGACCGAATTAAACTTTGGATAATTTAATTTCCAAAATTGTGTATAATGTAATATAGATAGGCTTTTTGACGATTAATAGCAATATAATATATCTAATGAATTGTCTTGCGTGTCATTGAATTTGTATCAAGAATTTCAATCACATTTCAAACGTTGATATACTTACCATGTCGGTGATTTATGACAATTTTGAATAGAGATGTTAGAGGATACGCGCATTATTCATCGAATTCTCCGTGTCGTAAAGTTCGCGCGCACCAGGAAACCGGAAGTACCGATTACGTACGACCCACATAATTAAGCGGTCGCTATAATTAAATTGCGCGCAGTATGCCCGGCGAAAGTCCTCGTTAGAGCAGTCTTATTAGGTGTTCCGATATTGAGGGGTTGGTGCAGCGATACTGAACGCTTCTTAAGTTTCGAGAGTTTCGAGAGCACTTGGACCACAGTTCGGTTCTGTTCGAGAACTTATCGAGAGGGCCCGTCATCAATTAAATCTGCGCGGTAATTGCAAAGGAAGGAGGAAAACACGGGTGCGGTGCGGGGTTAACGGAACTTCACAAAACTTTCCGCCCCCTTTTTGCTCGCCGTCCGCCGCATTACCCGTGCAAAATCACCGTTTCGTTAATCGAATTGGTGTAACAACAAACGGGCTCTTAGCTCTAACAAAACGTACAATAGATAGATGTATCACATACATGTGCGGATTCTAGAACATGAAGATATCTGTGCTCCTGTTTCCTTATCGCATATAAAGTCGATTTTTACATTTCAAAGCACACAGATTATCAAAGCATTTGCTCGTTAATGTCATTTCGATATATAAAAATTTTCAAGTTGATGAAACATTTACAGACAATTATAAATTCTGCAAGTTATTGATGTTGTTACCATAACGTGCACGTTTTAATACAAAATATTAATATTTTATTGTAATTAATAAAATAATACAAATTAATTTATAAGCGATTTATTAACGCTAACCTCGATGGAATATTTTAAAAAATTAATAATAACTTAAACGAAAATCTGTATAAAGGTAAAAAATCATAAATTTGATATATAAACAACAAACATATACATAATATTTGTTACATAAATTTTTAGCTGATATTGATGTTTAGCGAAGTTTATTATACTTAATACATTTTGTCACGTATTAAAAAACTCTGATAAATTGAAAAAGCAGCGATGAGTGACAAATATCTCGACGATTATCTGTCAGTGGTCGCGATTGACGTCGCCGTGGAAGAGAAGACGAGAATCGCCAGAATGGCTGTTGCGACATTGCACAAGCTGCATAACGTGATGCGGCAGATGAGAGATTGGCGGGACGATAGCGCGAAACTGAAGAGCAATATCTGGCGGATGAAAATGGCTTTGCGTGTGGATGACAAGAATGGGAACGATAACCAGCAAATCGACCCTTTGATCGTGCATCAGAGGGCGGAGATTAGCCGGTTGGAGCAGGCAAACGACGCTTTAGAGAATGAAGTAACGAGTCTAAAATGCACTTTAACGAAAGCCGAAGAGGATATCGCGCGTATCACTATCTCTGAAATAGGCGATAAGATCGCCACACTCGAGAATGAATTCTTAAGTGAAAAAGAACGCATGAACGACGAGATTTTGTGTTTGAAGGAGCGACTGAAAGAAACCGAGGAGAGCGAGACGAGTGTCATGCTGAAACAACTCAGGGACGAGCTGAACGAGTTTGCGAGAGGTGATCGGACGATAGAAATAATCTTCGCTAACGCGATTGGCAAGACCGTTGAGATGATTATCGGTTTATCGGAGGAGCTCGTGAACGTTAGCGAGAATTTGTATAAATTTAAAACGAAAAATAGGAATTTGCGTCTCAAGCTGGACAGATCGAGAGCCATGCTGCGATCGAGATGTGGTAATAGCGCGGAAGCTGAAAGTTATTCGTGAGAATGCGAACTATAGCGAAAGTTCGGACGCCACGGATATCCCAGACGTTGTTAGACACGTCGAACGTTTGATGAACGACTTGAGGAACAATTTAAAGAGCGATCGCGAGGCGATGATCGCCGCCGGCGATCTCGACTGTTTGAAATACATGAAGAAAGTAGTTAATCTAAAAGTAAACCTGAAAGTACTGTCCGTGGAGCTTAGACGATCGAACGTGCCGATAGACAAACGGTTATGCGAGAATCTTCAGTACGAGAAATGCTTAGAAACAGCTTCGTCATTGAATGGTTTTCTACAGGAAATCGATAATGAAATTGAAAAATTGAAAATAAAACCGATGAATAAATATTGCAAAATCGGTGGCATCAGCAGCTCGCAATATATGACCAAAGTCACGGAACTCGAAGATATTGTTAGAAAATCAATTGCAGTAATCGCTATTTTAAAACAAGCTCCGCCGAAAGTTATAAATACCAACGAGAAAATAACGGAGATACTAGAAGACTTGATCGAGCAATTGTGCAATAAAATAAAGAGACTCGAAATTTTCGATGACCGCGCGAATTTACGTGAGAGAATCGAACAGCTTGAAGCTATGATCATGTATTTAAAATCGGAATTATTGGAAAAGAACGAACGTATAAATGCGCTGAACGACGAGCATACAAGCATCGGATTAACGTTAGAGAGAGATCGTGAGAAGTACGAGAAGATTATTGCTGACATACGCGAGGTGAACGAGACTCTCCGAGGAGATGTAGAAAGAGGTAAACAAGAAATATTGGAACTGTCGCTTAAACACGATCATTCCGAGCGACATATCGCGGAAATGCAACTGATGAAGGTTGAAATTGATGCAGCGAGGAAAGAATTGCAGGACCTTCATGATGATAAAGAGACGTTATTAAAGGAAACGGAAAGGATGCGTAACGTTCTCGGGGAGAAAGACAAGGAAATTGAGAATATTATTACCCAGGAGAACGCGCTGAAAGCGGTCCTTAGGGCGGAGACAGAGGATCTGAAGACGAAACTTGGGATCGCTTCCGATGAAAATGTAAAACTGAGAAGTATAATTGAGGGACTTGGGAAACGGGAGGAACGCGAGCGACTGGGCAAATTGAAAAGTTCGGAGAAGGAAAGTGGCGGGGAGAAACGAGACAATGGCGAAGACCGTGCACAAAACCTCAGGGATGAATTGGAGTGCTTAAAATCTGAGTCAAATGAGCCTAAAATAAGTCTGGACGAGGCGGACAAGCGAATCGGCTATTTGAAGTGCGCGCCGGATGAAGACATTGACGACAAGACCGGGCCGGAGGATAAAATTTCTTATTTGGAACCTAACGAGCAATCGTTGACGTATCGATTGAACGTCTCGACGAATACTGGCGAGGAAACATCGGGAGAATTCAACAGAGTGATAGCGGAGTACAAAGCGTCGAAGAATAAAGTCAAACAGCTTCAAAACGAGAAAGAACAACTCGAGGAGGAGTTGTCGAAGTTGAGGTCTGAGAAAGGATTGCTGGATAGGTCGATGTCCGATGCCAATAACAAGTGCGCCGTGCTGCAAGATCAAGTTAACAAATTTAAGTCCGAGCGTAACGGCCTTCGGGAGCAGATAAGCGAGCACGAAGCTACTGCGCAGAATTTAAAGTTCGAGTTGGAAAGAGCGCGGGTGAAACTCGAAGATGCGGTTGTTAATACGGCGCGCCTGCAATCGGAGAACTCAAAGGCCATCGGCGATTTGGATATGCTATCTCTACGGAATACCGAGACCGAAGACCGTGTACGGGTGCTGTTGACAGAAAAGAACGAGTTCGCGACGCGTATTAACGAGCTCAATGATGAGAGCGTCGCTCTGCGAGAGCAGTTGAATAAGGCGAGAGAGGAGAATGAATATTTTTCCATGGAATTGAATAAATCAAGGGTCGAAAATGACAAAGCGAAAGCGGAAAATGCTCTTCTGCAGACTACCTGCGACACGAGAGAAAAAGACGATGTCAAGCTGAGGAAAGAGAGAGACGACGCAAAAGGAAGAATAAATGAAATCGCTAACGAGTGCAGAGCACTCGGTAATCAACTGAAGATCCAGCGAATGAAGTATGAGGCATTGCGGCTTACTGCGGCCACGTTGCACGACGAAAATAACAATCGTAAAAATTATTTAAAGAAGATCGATATGCAGCATCCGCTTGTGATGGACTGCGAGCGGAGATTCGCCGATACTCATAACGAGATTAAACAGAAACAAAATTGCTCAGATACCGCGCGTACGAGTATAAAGGTCGAAATTGGCGAACGGAGGGACGGTGGAACAGAAGTCAAAGTAGAATCTGATACACGCGTCGACCACGATAACAAAGCGGTGATCAAAGACGAACCAAAGGGCGAACTAGAGAGATCGAAAAGCGAAAATAATTCTTTGAAATTAGAACAGGCGAATTTGAAGTCCAAAAATTCCGAAGTTACGATGAAACTGGCGGAAGGTAGATCCGAAAATCCAATGCCATGGACAAAAATATCAGACGACGAAGAAATTGTCGGTTCTATCTTGAAGAAATTTGAAATCGCGAGTATCTGGTATGAGAAAGAAATAAACAATTATTCTAATTATTCCAATGATCCGGATATGTCCAATGATAGCGAAAGAACCGCGGCGTTCAATATCGATCAACTCGAAGTCGAGAATAGAGCGCTGAAGATGAAAGCAGTTATTTCGTGTAGTAGTCGCAACTCCTGCCTAATGGACGGCAAGTTCGGTAGAGCGACGGACGAAATTCAGGCTTTGAAACTCGAACTGATGTATCTACGGGACGAGAAGGCAACGTTGAAGTCGCAGCTCGAGATATTTAAGGAGGAATTAAACGCATTGAAATCAGAGAGGGTTGCTTTAAAGGATGAACTCGCCGCTTCGAGGAAGTCGAATTTCGATTTTAGGCTT